AGAAATTCATCTTGAATTGCATTCTCACCGCTCAAAGCCAGTGAAATTATAAACGTTGTTTGAGCACTCCACAACATTTGCATTTAGTACTGAGTGGAAGATTTGAACGCAAATGAATTCGATTTTAAAAGCCGTCAGGAGGAGGGGAAGAACAAAGCTTATCCTTCCATAGCAAATCGTAGTAAAAACGAGTACAATAATAAAAACATCTTTTTTATATAACTCCACATTTTACGTACGAATGTATGTTATATAAAAAGAATAAATCGTATTCAGTGCATTTCACAGTCTTATTTATAGATAATGAAAATAAAAACGCCTGTGCTTCCTCTTTGAAAACCTCGCGCAATATCCCTTTTGGTTGCTAATATTTGAGCCAATTTTTCGTATTGCCCGTATTACCGCTGCGAAAACACAGAAATCGTGAAAATTCATTTATGAGGACTTACAATCAGGCACAGTATAATTTACATCATTTTTTTATAAAATTTTATTATTTAAACCCACGAAAATAACAATCGAAACAACTTAGAAAAACATAACTCCGATCGAAATGTAGAATAGGTATAATCGTAAATTTCGAAGATTGATCGAAAGGAAACGGAACGCAGAATACCAAAGTTGCCAAACGGAGAAAATTTCGATTCGAATCGAAATGCAGAATAGGGCTGATAAATAAATTTTTATAATTTGTAGAAGTTTTTTTTTTTTTTTAATTATTATGCAGTTTTTTAAATATACATACAAAAATGAAAATTTACATATTGGTGAACAATTAAAGTTTTCTTGAAACTCAGTCCGATTTTAGCAAAAAAAAAGTGCGAAACAAAAATTAATAAATGCAACAATGGCCATAAGTAAATAGACATAATTACTCACATGTATGAATTTAAAAGAACGCAATTTTCAAGGAAGTAAATCGAAAAAACGATAAAGTTTACAACAACAAAAAATTAAAAGTTGGACATTTCAGAAAAATTCATTTTGGAACTGAATTCTCGTGGTTCTGCATTGCATACCATGACAAGGTAAACGTATTGTGATTGAAATTTTGTAGCACCATGAGATTCAGCTCTGGCGTGAATTTCAATACAAATACAATTCTACTACTACTACTTACCTAATACAACGTTCAATTTAAATGTACACGCTAACAAATAACAAATGTAAATATGGGGATCAATCTATTTCAAATTGACCAATATTTGGAATCGACTATTTTTGATTTGCATGAATCTTGGTCAGAACTTTCTTTGTTGTCATATAACAAAGTTCTGTCAAAGGAAAAAAAATGTTTTTTCCCAAGTTCGAAATTTCCAGATATTTGGGGCTATACAAAAAAATTAAAAAAAAAAAACATTCGAAAAATAAAATACAGTGTTTTTAAATATAGAAAAATCGTTAGAGCAAAACCTTATTTGATTCCTTTTTAAATAATACGTCTAACTGATCTTAAAAGATCCTGAAATTTTCATGCAGGTGTTTTTTTTTTTTAATATATGAATTTTAAAAATTGTGTAGCATACTTTTCTTTGGAGTTTGCAAACAATTTTTTCGAAATTCAAGAATGTATATATGTACATACATACTAATTTAATTTCGAAAAAAGTGTAAGGCATGTTCGAATTCTACGTTCGATTTTAAGCAAAAATGGCTAACAAACTATATACCAAAAATTACGTTTGACCCTCCCAATTTTTAAAAGAAATAATTTTTTCTGAACGAATTATTAATTTTTGATTTACATAATTTTGTGTTTTCTTCATATTTACGAAACTACTTCACAAAAATGAGAAGAAAACATGTAGGTCGTTTTTTTGGTACAAAGTAAAATAAATTTATACCAAAAACCTTACAATATACTGCTTTTTCTTTTGAAAATTGGGAGGGTAAAACGTTATTTTCGGTATATAGTTTGTTAGCCATTTTCTCATAGAATTAATCGTAGAATTAAAATTTGATATACACTTTCTTCGAAAATTTTACTCCGAACAAATAACTCCGCCCTAATGTACATATGTATATATTAAAAAGAAGAACATCTTGCAAGTTTCAGCAATTTTTAAGATCAGGATTTGTAGTTTTTAATTTAAAAATTTTGTATTTTTTTTTTTGTTTTTTCCCGATGTATGGATTTTCTTTATAGCCCTAAATAGTATCACCTTTAAAACGAGACCAGAACCATTTTTGAACTATGTATAATTTTTAAAATTAAAAAAAAATAGACTAGCAAAATTTCGGAAATTGTGAAATTTAAAATTTTACATAACTTCCGAAAACGAATTTTCAACTTTTTTTCCTTTGGCAAAACTATAACAATATAGAACTTTTACATATGTACAAATGTGATTAAACAAATTCCAGCTAACTTATTTTGTGTAATTTCTTGCAATAGTTTTCAAATGTCCGTGGGTAGGCAATTTTTCATACAGACTTGTGTAATTAATTATACTTGTAAAACACTTATTCATTATATTCATAATATAAAAATTAACTATGTTATTACTAATGCTAGCTTTATTTATAAAAACAACCATTTTAAAGTTAAGTTGGTGTATCGAAGAAGTAGAATTTTTTTGTTAAAATAAATATTTTTTGTTAAATAAATATTAAATTGAATGCTTGCATCCTATTATAAAAATATTGTCCATAGCCTTCAGATCCCCGAATAAAAAGAAGTTTTGAATGCCGAAAATAATTTTGAATTGTATATATTAATGTAACTTCATATAGATACATAAATTAGGTTAAAGCATAGACAGACGACAACGTTAATCCGGATTAACGGCGGAGTTCACCTGACGAAAATTGTAATCCAACAGACTGCAGTATTGCGAATTATGCAAGCCGCGAGGCCGAGGATTCGAATCTCACGGCCAGCAACATTTTTTTAACTCTTCAATTATTATCTTACTAGTTTCAAAGATGTGATTAATTCCTAAAATTATTTAAAAAATGCATTCCACTGTAGAAAAACTGTATGGGCACCAAATGAAAGAGAAAATTCTGTAGAATGAAAAAAATTAAAATTTTTTGGTTCGCAAGGGCAAATGGGTATTGAAAATGTTCATTTAATCAGTTTTACTTTTTTAAGCGTATAAAGTTAGAAGGACGAAATTCGAAGATATGTATGTATGTATGTGTATGTATGTATTAGTCCTTAACATATATTTTTTTCGAAAATAATTATTGTAAAATGTGAAAAAGACATTTTCAATATGTAATCGTCCTTACGCACCAAAAAATTTAATCGCCCTTAATTCTACAGAATTTTTTCTTTAATTTGATAGCAGTTGTTTTTCTACATTGCACTGAAATTTTTAAATAATTGTTTGAAATAATTATATTTTCCAAATTTCAAAGTCCTTCAAAAAAAAATCTGGACGTCAGAGAAAAAAAAATTAAAAACGCGGTTGTACTATATTTGGTTTATAGTTTCGCGAATATATACGATTTTTTGTGTGTAAAATTTACTGTCGAACGATATTTTGCATACAATACTTTTCTTATTAACAAAAATAGAATGCCAAACGAGTACATTACTATGCTGCTCATTGAAATGAAAAAATATACACATACTTATGTACTTATGTATGTTCATATATTTTTGTATGTGTACACATTTTTTTCTATATAAAAAAATAAAGCAGCCATTATTTAGGTTTTCGATTAATCAGCTTATGATTAATCAGTATTCTGGTTAATAAAATTGATTAAATTCTGATTAATAAAAATAAAATTAATCGAGAAATTAATCACTTTGATTAATAAAAATTGATTTGATTTGAAAATTAATTAATTAATCAGATTTCGATTAATCAGCTTCGATTAATTTATTAATCGCACATGCATAGTAAATAAATTCACAAGTTTCCTCACAAGTAATATGCTTTTCTTTCTTAATACATATATACATACACACATATCTAACTAACAAACGAAATACCAACTAAGCTTTCTGATGGATTTCAATATTAATACATAACTACTAAGTACTTGCAAACTTTTTCCCTAATATTTAAGAAGTATTATACTGCGGATCAATACATGTCAAATCGACCTATGGTTGGAATCGACCATTTTTGATTTGCATGAATTTTGGTCAGAACTTTTCTTTTATCATATAAAAAAATTACAATTTTTTTTTGAAAGTTGGGCAAAATTATAAATTTCGCGAATTCCGGGATTTTTCAAGTTATAAATATATACATACATACATATATTTACAAAAATCGAAAAATTAAAGGTATAGAATTTTGAAATTTAAAAAATCGTAAAGTCAAAAACTTATATTTTTGGCTCCATTTTTTTTATACGATACCTCTAACTCATCAGAAAATATTTTTTTTTGAGATATGAATTTTTTAATTTGAAAAAAATATGTTATTGCTCTAACTTTAGATTAAAAATAAATTTAAATTGAAAAACATTGTTTAACATAACTTTATTTAGAATTTAGCAAACCAAAAATTTTTTCAATGTTCATGTATATCTTAAAAAAACTTTAAAATTTTGGGATCTTTTAGGATTAGTTGGAGTATAACAAAAAATTTGATTTTTTGCTTTCACGATTTTGTTAATTTCAAAATTCTATAGGTTTTTTTTTATTTTTCGATTTTTTGTTATATGTATGTATGTTTTTCTATACAGCCCTAAATAACATCTTTGAAACGAAACCATAACCACATTTTTGTAACTATAATAGTTTTTGAGATACTCAAAAATAAACTTGCAAAATCCGGGAATTTTGAACTCTCGAATTTTTTCCCCCCTTTGGCAGAACTTCGTTACATAATAGAGCAAGGTTCTGACCCAAAGTCATTCAAATCAAAAATGGTCGATTCCAACCATTGGTCGATTCAACATAGACTGAGCCATACATAGACATCATTCAAAAATATATATATACATACTTATTCAAATATTTACAAATTTGCTCTTTCCAATTTTAATTTCATCTCAACTCTGGATCCTCACCTCCACGCCACACACCGCTATAGACTTTGATGATCTGCCACCGTTCCTACCCATTGAACCACCGCTCGATGTCGACTACAACTTTTCACTGGATCAAACCGAGGGTCTTATCGAGTTGTTTAATGACTTTGCCTAAAATTTTAAATATACAAATAGTAATAAATACAAAAGTATAATTATAAAAAAAAATTATCAAAGGAAATAGTGTTTTAAGCAAGAATACAAGTAAATAATAAATTCAATGTGTATGTGTAGAGATATTCACAACCACCAATAAAAAATATATAAAAACACAAACTGCAAAAAATTAAATAAATTAACAACTTCTGTATGCTACTGAATGGAAAACGAAGTAATATTATTATAATTATTAAACATTATTATTAAAAAAACTAATTTAAAATTTATAAATATATTCTTTATATAAATACATATATACTATATATATATACATATACATAGATATTAATAATTGTTAATACATACATACGGAAAGAAGCGGTAATAAATAAAATAAAAGCGAAAACTCTCGCATACCCCATAATACATACATACACGCAAATAAATATATAGCAGAAAAGCCTAATGTATAATAATTTGTGTTTGAAGCAAACAGGAAAGTTTCAATAGGTTTGAGGGAAAGTGCGGCGCGCAACGCAGACACACAAACACACACGCATACAGTTCATTCTTATTTAACGTTAATTATATTTCTTTATATACATGCGTGCGTATATACATACATACATACATTAAAAACAAACTAAAATAGATATTCGTAATTGTAATTATTAATTAAAAAATAATAATAATAATAAAATATGAAACTAATACAGTTCACACGACTTCACACACACACACACGGATACACACATAAACAGCCACACAAAAGTAAAGCAACAACAACACTAAAAGCTACTTTTTAAACCCCGCAAAACTAAACTTCCAAAAATTTTGTAATTAACGCGCAGTAACAGTTGCGTAGAAAATGTTTTAGGTAGAAAGCTAAAAAATATTGAAATAAACTAAAAAAAAAAATAAATAGAAAACAGAAAGTATTTATTTAGATTCATGAACGATCTACAAAGCAAGCTGAATCGCCGCCAATAAACGTAAAAAAGAAAACGATAAAATCAGTGTAAAAAATGTAAAACACACCACAAAACAAGCAGCAGCCCAAATAACAAAAAAAAAAACGCTGCCAATTAGCGCAGTGAAAATTTTAAATTTGATTTTTTACACAAAACTGTAATGCTATAAAGTATTTTTTAAATTAAAAATTTATTTTTTTTTACAATAACCTATAAATTGTTTTCAAAACTTTGTTAAAAACAAAAAACAATAATACCAAAAAAACTAGATAGTTTTTTTTTACTAAAAAAATTTTTTGGCAAGCATACAGCAGCAATGTGCTCGCCACAATTAGAATTATCGAAAAAAAATTTCTTAAAAAATAGTAAATTATAAACAAGCGAGATTCTCATGGCATGCAAGTGATTTCTCAGCGCAGCATATATTTATATATTTATACATATATAATTAGCGCCAAGCAAATTTATTCCAAAAAATTCTACTTTCTATGTCCACAGCTACATACATATGTACATTAAGGTGTAACTTAAATAGAGAAAAAATGTTATTCCTTTGAAACAAACAGCTCACACGCTTAATTGAAACGCATAAAAAACAACAACTACCTTATTAATAATACTGTTATTAAGTTGTAATATAATTTATAAAATGCATAAGCAGAACTTTTGTCATCTTCTGCTCCAAAAAAAAAAAAAACACAGTTTACTTAGTTCAGTTAAAAAATTGTTTCCAAGTGTCTTAAACACAAATATACATAATACATGCATACATACCTACATATAAATACTACCTACCTACATACATAAATATTATTTTACTCATTAGTAGACTTCTGTTGAATTTATATGTGTTTTTATAAAAACAAAAAAATTGTTTAATGAAAAATAAAATATTTCCTGAAAGAATAATACGAAAGTATTGAGAAAAATTAAAAAAAAAAAAAACTCAGTACCAAATTTTACTTTCTCTAAATTGTTAATTTGCTTAGTCAACATACAAACATAAGTATATGTACATATATGTATGTACACTTAGCTCTTTATTTTCTGTCGACAGGTCGCTTCATAATAATAAATTCTTTGTGCATTTTTTATCTACAAACGCACAGAGGTTCGAATCGAAGTCGCGTGTCAAAAATTCATAATGGCGGATCCAATATAGCGGACAAAAACATTAAAAAAAGTAAGTGCACCTGGGCCACACTGGAGAAGTGAAACTTACGTTACATATCTAGTTTATCTCATAACCAATATAGTACATATGCTTTTGCTTAAGATTTTATTTTTTGTCTTTTCTATCTAGATCCTTACCTTTACCCTGTTCATTTATGTTATTCTATTTTCCTTTATCTTTATGTTTATATTTATACTCTTGTCGGTAACAAAATCGATAGTAACATCCTTCAAAACACTGATAACAAAATCGATAAAAAATCTATAACAATATCGATAACAAAATCGATACAAATTTCGATAGCAAAATCAATACAAATAATAACAATATCGATTAGAAATTCGACAAAAATATCGATAACAAAATAGATAGAAAAATCGAAAACAACATAGATAAAAATTTCGATAACAAATTCGATAAAAATATCGATTGTTATATCCTCAAATTACGAGAATCCCGAAAATCTCTAAAATGCCGAAATAGTTCCCAGATTTAGTCTGTGTCTGTATCTATATGCTTTTCTCTATAATTTCCTTCATTTTAATCTTTCTTCCACTATCTTCATCTTTACTTTTGTCGATATCCTCATTCTCATCTTTTTCATCTTTGTTTTTACTTTTATGTTTATCATTTTCTTCATCTACATATCCTGTAAAAATGTCAAACAGCAAAATTACTCTCTGAAGTGAGAGTAACAACAAAAAGTACGGTAATAGAAAACCTGTGATCGCTTGACACTTTTCAAGATTTTACCAGAAGAAAAAGTTCGGGTAAAATCTTGCAACTTCATTCTCTACACAACTCTCCAAAAGGATTTTGGAGTACGGGAACATTTTTCCTGTAACTTCCTGCAAGTTCGTGTAAAAACCTGTAATTTCATGGAATACTGGATCAGAGCTAATATGCAAGTCGTTTCATAACGGTCTTCACAGGCTTTTACTTTTGCTATTTTTTTTATCTAACTAAGTATATGTATCATTATGATGTAAGTAACTTGAAAACAAATAAAATTTTGACTTCCGTCCAGCTAGATTCGAACCACTGTGAAACGTATGTGCATATTATACCCTTATTAGGAGAACACCATAATCCCAAGAAAGTAAAAAATGTTGGAGTTAAGTATGCTTTTATGTTGTAAAAAATGCATAAAGTTATCTGTTAACCGTACGACAAAATAAAAGAAATTTTGTCTTCATTTAAATTTTACATTTTTCCATATACGTATGTACATATGCACATACATACACAACTATCAGGCAGATTCTGAAATTCGCTGCCAAGTGCAAATTATTCAAATTCACATTGAATCCGAATTTTCGTATTCTGTATTTCTCGCATCTCAAATCGACATGAATTAATTTTTCGTTATCACTTTCAGTCGGATGCTAGAACCTGCATGTGCATCTAGGAAGCAATTATTCTTTGAACAAAGGAAGTAACCAATTTAATGTTTGATGGTAGCCTTATCCTCTGGATAAGATTTTGCGACATTTCTTCTATTTTATTTTATTGCTTTATCAGTGTTTGTTTAAGCTTGGTATCCAGATTACAAGAAAAACCTAAATACATCATTTTTTATTCGTTCTGTCGCTTAAAAAGTACTTTCAGAATTTTTCACAACGTTTGCAAATTTTAATCTTTTTCGCAAAAAAAAAACTAAAATCAAATTTCTAAAACAAATGCGCTCCTTTACATTCATTTCCGCTTAACCTTTCTGCGGCGTTTATAAATCACTAAGAGCATAATTAAGAATGCTTTTGGCTATAAGTAGAATAGCGTAATAAGCTGTTGTTTGCTTTTGTTATTTGAATGATTGTTTCGAATATCACTTAAAAATGTTAATCTTTAATCTAAGCCCTCTTGCAATGGTATGCCAGAAATGGCTACGCTTGATTCTCATGGTCAAAAAGACTTGAAGTTTATTGGATGTGCTGAAAATTTGTCAAATAAAAAATGGTTAGGTGAAATTTGGCATCGTCAGCATGAGGAATCGATCGCCTTTTTTGCTTGACCTTTTTTCACAAGTTGTTTATATTCTTGGATATATGTATGCTGCTTTCTTGTCGACTTCTCGAAGTTTTTTCGTGATTTCGTGCTTGATTCCGAACTTTTCGGGAGATTTTCGTTCTTATCACAATTTCTTTGAATTCCTCCAGTCGACTTTTCCTTTCTTTTAGTTGACTTTTCGTCTTTCATTACAAATTTTTTCAAACCTGTAGTATTTTTTTAGCTACATTTTGAAATTCTGTATGGATTTTTTTGAGACTCTCTAGAACCTTTCGGCAATATTTAAGTTTTTTGGATGCCGTTTGGACTTACCGGGGGTTTCATAAGTTTTTGTGCTTTATTTTGGATTTTCGGAATTTTTTAAAGCTTTTTAGATTTTTAATGTTTTTAGAATTTTAATAGTATCTCAAGATATTACGTAAATTTTTGAACATTTTCGAATTTTTTCCAGATTTTTTCCAAATATTTTCATGCCTTTTGGCGTCTAACTGCGGACTTTTAGGAATTTCTCTGCTTCAACAGAATATTTAACCGCAGCCTCGACTTTCAGGTATGCTTAAATGTCCAAAAAAAAATTCCAGGATCTTCAGAACTTTTTCGGGACCTTGCTGAACTTTTAGATATTTGTTCGGGATTTCTATGACTCTTCGTCTTTTGTTTCAAAATGATGGCAATTTTTGGGACCCTTGGAGATTTATTCGGGGCGTTCTGGAATTTCGCGTCCGAAAATTTCACTTTTTTAAGGACCTTTTAAGGTTTAAGCGATTTCACGTGTTTTTGAGAGTTTATATGAAATTTTCAGGTTCAGCGGTACATTTAAATCTCAATTTTGCTTTTTATGAATGACTAAAAAATAACACAAAAATTTACGTAAATTAAATTAAAAAAAAAATAGTCACTTTTTTGCTAAAGACGTTAAAAGTAAACAATTCGTTCGTAAATTTTCGTACTTTATTCCCAGCTTTTCGAGATTATTGGAAATTTTCGATTTGGTCAGGGATCATGTTCAGACCCCCCGGAAATTTTCAGATTTCACAAGTTTGAATTTTTTAAAAATCAAGTTGATTTTTGGCTTTTTTTTTGCTGACGTTTTAATTTTCTTCCACATAAAAAAAAAATTTGTCGAACATACTTTCTTTGGTAGAAACTGCATG